CAGTTGTGCTGTTCAAGATGTATTGTTTCCCCAAAGACTGCTTCCAGTAGCGTGGATCAAAGTAGTACCTATGAACACCCTAACTACCCAGAGTCATTTCTGAAAAATTAAACATGCTATGTTTGCTTGCACGCTGATTGGGGCACTCTGGTTGCTGATAGCAATCAGTATGAACTTCCCTACTGCTGATGTAATGATGATGAATGCTGTGACACTGCTATTTCAGACAGCTCTTCTCAGCGGATGCAAACCACTTGTTAATGAATTGAATACAACTACAGCAGCATCGAATAAAACAGGGAGAGGATTTCTTAAAAAAACCCAACACACTAAAAGATCCCCCCTCCAAAAAAAAGTAACAAATAAAGGCAGGGGAAGGTTTAAGTTTGCAAGAGACATAAACCAGTCTGACAAGCAAATTGAGAACTTTAGATTCCGATTCCTGCCCAAGCGCTTATACTGAAGCAAGTACTCTTGTTGAAGTCGGTGAGTCTATTCACATGAATAAAGATTTGCATGATCTGGTCTTTAAAACTAACTTGCTCAGTATAAATTTAATGATTTAAAAAGTAATTCAGAGAGGGAAAGGAGCATAGAGCTGAAGATTTCTTGGAAAATCAAAGTGTATATTCAGAAAGGGTCGTGTTTCCTGCTCTTCCAGGCAGAGGGCTGCTCCACTGGTTTCAGTTAGTTGGCACTGTGAGTAAGTGAACAAAAAGATTTTTTTTCTCCCCAGTATATTAATATTATTTTTACTACTGTGGGGCACAGTTTTATGACTAGTGTACATAGGGACCGGAAATTATATCATTTCAAATTGCTTGAAAGAATTTTTTTTTTGTTCAAAATACATTTCCAACATATTGCCATTTGCTGACACTCCTTTTAAAAGAGACAGTTTTCCTCATTTAACTAGTTCATTCCAGTAGCTTGTTCCTAAAATTTCTGCGATTTAATATGCAATTGGTGAAAGTTTACATTTATGATTTAAAAAGAAGAGACACACCTGCAGGCAGGTTGCTGTTTTGAGAGGGATTAGGTTTAAAATGGGGATCTGGAATTAATTGTGCAGTGGGTTCAGGCTTTAGGGAAATTACAAAAGGTTCAAGCATGGTTGAATGGGAAAAAGCCATGAATGTTTGCTTTCAGGAAGGAATGTTTATCCCTCTATTTACCTATGAAAGTTCAGGCTTTCGCCCATATACTGTTACAGCATTTTCATGCCATTCATATGCACAGGGAGATGCTGGATAGCCGACAGAAACTAGCTTTCTGGTTTTTTGAAAGCAGAGCTCCTTGCTGCAGAGTAGATACATACTGTCTCAGGCCTGGGGGCAGGGACAGGGAAGTCACTGCTGACCCACAGGCTGGGGAGAGCCGTGTACAACATCATATAAACCACTTCGTATTTTAATGTGAAGATGACGTCAGGCTGGCTGATTTTCAGCATGCTTTTTGATAGGGATTAGCGGCCAGTGGAAAGAAATCTTCGCATCGCCCTGGACTTTTTTTTTTTTTTTGGTAGACTGCAATTCTCGTATTTCAGTACAATTTCTGAGAGAAAATAAAAATCACAGCCAAAATTAAGGAGACAATGATTCTAGAAGACACGTGTGCCTGGTTTGTGTTCTCAACTTGGGCTTAAGTTCATCTTCAGGAAGAAAAAGATTCTTGGGTCACCATATTGATTTCCAGTTGCCTGCTTCCCTATTGGGCATGCTTGGCAAAACATACCAAAACACATACCTCCAATTATTAGTCCCTTACTCCCCCAGCCATGCATACCACCATGGAGTTGATGATACAGCACTGGAGTGTAACTGGAGCTGCTGGAATTCTTGCAGACGGCCTTGCCACACGTGTGGGTTGGGAGCGGAGGAAGGAAGGCACGGGAGGAAACGTCTGCAGGGCCGGGGCCATCGGCTCGTGGAGCAGGGCGTAGAGCCGAGTAAGAAAGTTTACTCTTGCAGTGTTCCCTCTTCCACGCTGACATGAATAAAAGCAGCCTTCTGTGTGTAAACTAAGCGGACACGAAGCAGGACAGGTACCAAGAGCAGGTGTTTATATTAGCTCGTGGCCAATTCTGCAATTTTCTGACCAGAAATTCACTTTAAGCTACTACTTTAAGCCTCTGTTCTGTACCGTTGTCCACACTGGGTAGCGTAAACCAGGAAAGTGATAGAGAGTGGTGGGAAATGCGGAATTATGTCTCCTAGTCTTCCCTCCATTAAAGAAAATACCCCCAAAGCACCAGAAAAATCTCATGGCTGTTGGGGAAAGAAAAAAAATAGCCAAGAGAATGGATGAATGCCAGTCTGAGCAGCCACGTGTTGCTCGTGAACTGCAGATAATGTAAAGATGCTTTTTTAGGAGATTAAAGCTGTGTTAACTCCTTAGAGTACCTTCGTCTCCTTCCTTTTCTGACCAATGGTAGGATCAGATTGTAATGGAGGTACTGTCCTGCCATGGTGGAGAGGGGAAGGAGGTGGAGATACGTGAGGGCTCCTTGCTCATATCTGCACAGACATCTGCTTGGCAGGAGGCGGTGGAACCGCTGTAGATACCTGTCACCATTTTTGTGATCTTTGCCCAAATGTTTCATGCCACACTGCTGGCCTTGTGAAATAGGGGCAAAGTATGTGGCTTCTTCCTTTCTAGTTGAGTAGGGAGCATAATTGTTTCTTTTCATGACTTTTAGCCAAAAGAAACAGGCTTGTGAACAGAAGACCGAAGAAAACGGGGGACAAATTCTGCAGCTTCCCCCTCCAAGCTCTCTCACAGTCAAACTCTTTGATGTAAATGAAGATGCTTCCTGAATAGCAGACTTGGCCCTTAAAAGGCAAAACTGAAGAAAAATAACCACAACTGAAAATGTATAGCTTTTTAAATTCCTTCAGAGACATCAGAAAAAATTACGCTTTTTAGACAGTATTAAATAACTCAAATGAGGGTAGTCAGAGCAGAAGATGGTATATTGAAGGACTCGCTTACGCTGTAGCTGGAGGCTGGGTAGAGGCAGAGTTTGGTACTCATGTGGCCAGGGCTGTGCAGAGAAAATGAGCATGTTCTGGCCAGTGTGGGGTGAACAGCTTGGCAGCAGTGCCAGCATCCCCCCAGTTTCTGCCAACCCAAGGGAGTGAAAACCCTGATATATATGATAGCCAACCAAAGCTGTGGATGCTCTTGCGTGAGGTGTGCCAGGGGAAAGGGGGAGAAAGCATATGAGAAATTTGGAAAGGTGCCGTTTACAAAGCTCGTATGAGATCGCGCCTCAAGGAGATTTGTGCATTGCTGGGTACAAGTGAGGGCTGTTGCAAGTTGAGTATTGTTAGACCTCTCCTTCATCTTTGAAGACACCTGGCGTTCCCCTTCATGTTCTGGTAGGAAGTCGTTTTCGCAGATCACAATAATATTTATAGCACTTTCACAGGTAGATCTTGAAAGTACTCTTATAAGTACTCTGCCATGGCGGGCAGAGGTTTGTTATTCCTGTTTTTAGCAAGAAAGGATCTCGAGGGAAGAAAAATGCCTAGCCAAAGGTTAGACCAGTAGGTCAGTGGCAGAGAGTCTCTGATATCTAGTCCAATTCTCTGGCTGTGCTGCCCAGCTAAATAACGATTCATTTAGTGATAGGGCTCTTCTTTGATCCCTACTGTATAACAATGAGGCTTTGGAGTGTTTTATTGTGCTATTAAAAAAGAACTCCTACTAGGGAGGTGGGAAGGGGAAGGTTTACTAGACAGCTGTGTTTGTGACGAATTGGCTTTGTAGCCTTTTTTTTGGTTTTGGGTTTGGTTTTTTTTTTGCCTGTCAGAATTGGGGAAACAGGTTGCTAGTGTAATTACACTTCATTACACTTTGTGGCTTGTTCTGAAGCCTTTGGTTTTTTAATTCATTTAAATGTTGTTCTAGAACAGTGCGACTTCCGTTTCAGACTCCTTTAGCTAATGACTGCAGTGCTGCTCAGAGCTGAAAACACTCTATTATTATTTTTTGTTGTTGTTGCATAGGATCGTGTTCAAACTACCAAAGTACCCAGGTACTTCGGTTCTAAGCATGGTGTGTGCTGAATTGATGATTTGTGTAGATCTTACTTGGACAGATTGGCGTGCGTCAAGTTAAGCTGCAGACCAGCACTTGGAAATGCTTGTGTTCTTCACAGCCCAAGATCCTTGCAGTCTCGGGGCCTGGCGTGGATACACTGCTGCACAAGCAGCGTTACCCTTTTGGAAGCTTGTGGGCTTCTGTCAGGAATGTCAAAAGCTCTGAGAATGAGGAGAAGTGGTCTGCAGGGTATAAAATGAATGTATCACTTGAGATGACACTGAGAACAGCCAGGAAAGGCAGAATAACCAGACACACACCTCTGCAGAGTTTTCCATTCTCAGCGTTTTCGTGCAAAAGAAAGTGATCTCATTATCTGCCACTAGCAATAATATTTGCCTTTCCCTGTGGTTTTCAGGGTGTTGCTCCAATGCACTTTTGTTTGAGTTAGATTTCTGAACAAACAAAGTGAGAGATGTTTACATGGGTAGGACAAGGTGTAGAGATAGACAGGATAATTCTTGCTGCAGTGTGTTCGGAGAGCGTGAATGTTGAAATTTAAATATTTGGCTTCTATAGTCAACATGAAGGTCTGTCTTGATTTCTTTTGCATTGCTCCAAAGTGCTCTGGACATAGGAGAAAAATACTGGCTTTTTTCCCCTGGGTCCATTAAAACCGTACAGGCTTGAAAAAAACGGGCCTACCCATCAAGCAGCATAGTGGTTTGTGATACTGGTTTTCTTTAAAGGCAAACACGCTTATTTTTGGTGTTAGTGTTTCCTTAAATTCTTCAGGAATTCATGCATGCAAACATGATTTGATGGGCATCCAGAAATGGCCTGTGGACTGCTAATTCAGTTGTGCTGCAGGCTCTTCTTTAGGTGAGAGGCGTGAGAGGTTTTGGGCCAAGCTTTTGCACAGCATTTAAAGTTTATGGCTCTCTTGTTTTATTCAGGTATTAGTACGAGGAGAGCTGAAGTAATGAGAAGTCATCATGGAGGCGCAGTCCCATAGCTCTACCACGACGGAGAAGAAAAAAGTGGAGAATTCCATCGTGAAATGCTCCAGTCGAACAGATGTCAGTGAGAAAGCTGTTGCCTCCAGCACAACTTCCAATGGTGAGTAACAGCAGGGATTTACTAGCAGCCAAACCTACAGTAATTTTATGTTCACTGCATTCCTTGCGAATTGAGCATTTGCACCTGGATCAGCGTTTGTTGTAAGGAAAGGCTAAAGAAAACAAACAAGGCGGGGTGGTGGTAGTGGAAAGTGGTAGGATACAATAAGGCCTGTTTTGGCATCAGGCGTAGTCTTTTTCTTCCAGATGTTCTAATTTGAGATGTAAATGTGCTAAGTTTTTTATTATAGGAAGTTCCTGTTTTTGGCGTTTTGGAAATTGTCTTGATTAGCCTGGCAGGGCTTGTGAGTGCTTTGCGTTTGGCCATTGAAAACTCTTACACTGGTTAGATAATTAGTTATTACAAAAGAGACAGAAGTAGCTCTGTCAAAATTAATGGCAAAGGTTTTTTTTCTTCTCTCCTTTTACAAATAAACTTGCTCCTCGCAAAGGGCTGCCCCCACCTCCCCAAAGTTCTTTAATGGCCAGGGACAAAACATCAAGCTAAGAGTGTATCCTCCCGTGAATTCATTTCAGAGTTGTGAATGTACAGCTTGTAGATTTGCAAAACTGGAGTAGTTTGCTTAATTCTCCCCAGAGATTACCTCACTTGACAATTTTACGTATATTCTCTGCCTGTCCAGAGAGTGTGTAATCCCAGCCCTGGCCCTTTCATTGTTCAGTGTAAGAGGGCTGAGTGTATTGGTCCCTACTAATGCAAAACTCCCTTTGCATTAGGAAAAAAATTGCTTGAAAAGGTGTGGGCAGAGCTTAGATCCGTGGATTTTGGATAGCTGCAGATTAACTGTTGTTTTTTGCAAATCAGTCTAATAATGGCTAAAACCGGAAGATGTCTTTCTGCATATTTTGGAGTCCTGGTGTATTCCTGGCAAAACATTTTCTGTTCACCCTTTCTGCTTCCATCATGCTCACTCATCTGGGCTTGTGGTCCAGGTCAGGTTCGCACTTTGATATCTTGAAGAAAGGTTTCTGCTTTCTCAAAGAAACATGTATCTATCTCCCACTAGACTAAAGCAGAAAATACATGAATACTACAGCCATACTAGAGAGGAATCTCTGTGGGTCAATAAAAATTAGATGGCACATGTCCCAGTATCCTTCTGTGTGACTGGACTTCAGATTCAAAGCAAGCTCAGCACCTGCTGACCTACTAGTTCGAGTTGATCCCCACGAGAGTATAGAAACTCTTGAGCAGCTATGGAAAAAGTTGCATCCGTTTTCTAAGGCATATGAAATTAGATCCTCAGCTGGTGTAAGTCAGCACAGATCCGTTGCTGTCAATAGAATTACAGTGGTTCACATTAGCTGAAGAACTCCCCGTTGGATTTTTTTTTTCGATAACAGGATTTTCCTCATTGGCCCAACTTTTCAAACAGATGCACACTTAAACACATATGCGTATTCTTTGATGTGTCAGGGGTTTGTACTCAAACGCGATATTGGTACATACCTCTGACTGTTTGGGCTGGCTTTAACGTTATCATTAAACATTTAGATTCAGAGGGCTAAAAATAAAGCCTTCAAGATGTTTTTGCCTAATTCTGACACTGATTTACCCTGTGGTCAAATAATTTTTTCTCTCTATTCTACCTACCAGCTTTAACGGTAATATTAGTTCTTAACTACCTGCTTCATCTAGGTGGTGTATTACTGCATGTCAGGGCATAAACCTCCCAAGAGCTGGAATGATTCTAAGTTTAATGAATGACTAGAAGTTTTTGTCACTGGAATTGTCTCCTATTAATGGAATGAGATGCTAATGTAGTACACATCCTGGGGCCTGAGGCTGCTTCTGGTTAAGGTAATGACAGTTACCTTTGTTTTCAGTGGGTAAGGGTTGGTCTTGTTAGTCTTTATATTTAGGGAAGTCACCAGGATCTCCAAAGTTAGGGTTCCTAATCTACCTTCATGTATAACCAAGCAAAGGACTTTCCAGAGTTACAGGGTTGGGCTTCAAAGGGATAAAAAATTCCATTCCTTCCTGGATATGAAAAATTTCCTCTTCGTGTAGAGACTCCATGGAGCATATTCCAAAACAAATACTAATACCAAAAGTTTAGGAACTTAAACATGAGTTTTACTGTTGCAATGTTTTAAAGTTTTGCTTCTTGCAGATATGATTGTCATGGTAATGAATTTTGGTTACAAGGACCCAATTTGCATGAAAGCTGGAGCTCCAATCACATTTGCATCTTTTGTTCTTTAATGCTGGAATGAGTATTACTACAGGAACATCATCAGTTGATATAAGACACCACTCCTACAAAACGTGCAGCTTTTGTTGATTCAGTGCCTTTTTTTTGCAGGGGTTTGTGGTAATGTTAAATGGTTGTGATTTGCATTTGAATGTTCTGTTAAACAAGGTAAGGGATACCCTTAAAAATAACAAAAAGACGGAATGATCCTTGCTGTTTTTGTCAGAAGACTGCTGTTATTGCAGAGCAACATCTGCCTGTCATACCAATGTCAACTCGTAAGCACATCTAATATCAGTGCTTATCTCCTTCTGGACAACACATTAATTAGCAAAGTTTGCAGGATAACATGTACTTGAGTGACAGCTGTCTGAGGTGCGATGTAGAAACTAGTATTTTCTCAGTAGCACTGCTGTCTGCTGAAGGAGTCAGAACTTGGATCATAAATAGATTGAAAGCTGTTAGTTACGCGTTTTATGCGAAGTTCACAATCATGAAGAAACAAAGAAAATGCCATTATTTCAACAGCTCCCAAAAGTGAGTAGCACACCCAGTAGCAGAATCTGTGTTAAAATGAATATTGAGTGTGGAAAACTTTTAAATCGTATGATGTGCAAACTGTTTATTGAAGGGCCTGGTGTAAACCTAGGTGTAAGGGAAAGAAAGTGGGAAAGGTGACCTGGAAGGGCAGCTCGTGTGTTAACCCTAACTACGCAATGCAAGTTATGAGGCCCAGACTTGTGGGTGCCCCTTGGAAGGTACCAGCTGCACTGTAGACTCAAACAACAAGTAAGCACGGGCTGTAGTTTACATGTTAGCAACTTCTTCTGAGTTCCTGTCATTACTTAACATAAAAAAGATTTCTGCTGCACTCACCTAACTACAAACTCTGACTATATTGCAAAAACGCTGTGTTATACGTGTTAGATAAGGGCTTGCCAGCGTTTCCATTATAAACACGTAATTTCAGGGATTTATAACTAAGCCATTAAAATGTGCTCCAGGCTGAAACACGTGGGGAAGGTCTTCGTGCTGGAGAAAATTAAAACTTCTTTTAAAATACATGTGATCAAAAAAGTAAAAAAAATACAACCATAACTTGTAATAACTAACAAAAATCTTTGGTGCACTTTGATCCCCAGCGGGACTTTGTAATTTGGGACCACTCTTGCTTTGTTTTGAATTCATTTTTGCAAGCTTTTGATTTTTTCTCCTTTGTGTTTCGTTTTGTGTATCTCAGCCAAACTGCACGCAGTTTACTAGGATACATTTCTTTGCAAATTGTTCCTTTTACTCCTTCTTTGTTTGACTGCTATATTTACTGCTAGGCTAATATCCAAGGGGGGGAAAACTGCTAAAGAAAACTATTAACGGAGACGTTAATTCACAAAAGGCTGTATGAATAAAAAGTTTGTGCTACGGTATGAAGTAAGCTTATTTTTGTGTATTGTGTGATTTGATAGCCTCAGACTGATCTGCTTTGGCAAAGTAATAACAACAACAAATAAATACAGTTTTTATGTCATGACCATGTCACTGGTATTACACTGGAGTAATGAGGCCAGTGTCCCAGACCACCTTGCTACCACGGTGCCGTGTTGTCAGGCCTTGTCTTCTCACGCATGCATCCCTGCCACTTTCCTGGAGACAAAGCAGCAAGACCCTGTTCCCTACCATGTCAATGCATGGATTTAGGTCATCATCCTGAAAGTTGCTGCATGCACGCGCAGGTTTCTATCAAGTTGTGCAAGGAATGGCTTTCTGAAGAGAGGTATCCATTGATAAACTCATTAAAATTAGTTCTGTGGTCCCCTTGGAGAGCCTTCGCCTGGTGTTGCATGCAGGTCATGAAACCTGCTTTGCTAGACCTCCGTTGGATAATACGGTACCTCCTGTAATTTCAAGTAATCCCAGGATTAAAAAAAAATCTTCAGGTGAATGCTGTAAACGTTGCAGGAGTGTACACGGTGACCTGCCTTGCTGAAGTGTGATGAACGCCGACATGGAGGCTTGTTCTCGGCTATGCCTCCATGCTGCTCTGCTGGCGAGCGCCAGGGCTGGCAGGGCGAGCAGCGTGCCTGCTCCTCGGTCGCCATGCCTCGCAGGCTGGCATATGAGCTATCGCTGAGATCAGCAGCGTGCTAAGTCGGTATGTCAGGCTGAGCACTGCCGTGCTGGAGCAGAAAACTCCGCTCGCTCCCCTGCCTGCGCAGCCGTGCTGCCCGCGCTGGTTGCAGTACGCTCCCACACCCCGGCACGGGGAATCGCCAGCCCTCCTGAGTCCCAGCATTGCAGTAAAGTCTTGAGCTCCAGTCCAGCAAGTACTCAAGTGAACAACTCGCTTTAGGCATAGGAGTAGCTCTGTTGGCCCTAATGCGGGTATTTGCATGCTTACAATTAGGCAGTGGCTTTAATGCTTTTCCAGGCTGGCCGGTTCGACTCTACGCTCTGCTTCGTAGGTGAATCAGATTTATTGTTAGAGTACTTCCTAAGAGGCGTTGACCAAAAAAACCCCACGCTAACCTAACACAGCCCTCAGCTATATGCAATTTATTTTTTCCACTTAATCTGTAGCATGGATATAATTAATTTTTCGCTTTATTTTCTAAAAAGTACGGGGAATTTCTGTGAGGGCTGAATTAATACTTTTACAAGGCAAAGCTGCACTTTGCAGCATTGCTTGGAGAACATCAGGAGATTGTAATACTGTGTTCCATCCTGATTTATTTATTGTTTGGCTTATGAATTTTGTCGGTGACTAAAATGCTTTCCTCTTTTGCACATT